TGTCCCAAAACTGCTCTCGAATACAAGTGGGCTTGGAAATGTTTCGGGCGTATACCCCTAGCACAAACAGCTTCTATAAGCCCACTTTCATACGTATCCATAACAGCCTTGGGCTTACATTCATAATCTTTCACATCTTGACCCATTCTTTCTGAAAGGATGATACCGACTCCCTGGCATGCCCGCTCGGTCTCGTCTACACCGGACCAGTACGTGGTATATATGCCTTGTATAGTGACATCCTTTCCTTTCCGCTTCGTCTCATTTATACATAACACCTCTATTCTTCTATCATTCATCTTTTCGCATACTTGATCTATCTTATCATTCATTGTTCCACATAAATTCAGTGTAGCTAGACGGGCTTCCGCAATACACCTTTGATCCCTCCGGAAGACAGGATGTGACGGATGGCGAACCTCATCGCCGGTTTCACTCTCGGAGATTCTTCGCACCCCTGCTCCATTAAAGAAGCGCCGAAAACTCGGGGCCATTTCTTTTATTTCGTTCCTCATGGTGCGAAACTGGAAGAGGCAGATTTTACGTCGTTTCGCCTTTGTCTTAATAGTATGTCTCATCATCATCATTCATCATTACAGCCCTTCACAAGTCCACTGCTGAACATAGGCCTCCCCCAAGTAATGCCACAAAGGACGGTCCTGAGCCACCTGAATCCATCGACTTCCTGCATGTCTTACCAGGTCGTCACTCCATCTAGTAGGGGTCGCCCTACACTACGCCTACCAGTATGAGGCTGCCACTCGAGAACCTTTCTTCCCCGTCGGTTATCAATTCTTCGAGCTATATGGGCGGCCCATTGCCACTTCAGCTTACTAATCCGTTGGGCTATGTCGGTCACTCTGATTTTACTGCGGATATCCTCATTTCTGAGTCTATCACGCAGAGAAACTCGAGCATAGCCCTCTCCATAGCTCGCTGAGCGACCTTGAGCGTCCTCATACGGCCAGCAGTGAAGGACCACGTCTCAGATCCGTTAGTCATCACTGGCAACACGCACTGGTTTTATACTTTAGTTTTCAGAGATTGAGATATACCTGACGAGAAGATGTGTCGTAATTTCCCGAACGCTGCCCAGCCGAGTTGAATCCTTCGATTGACCTCTCGGTCGAAGTTGGACTTACCTAGTCGGACTATTTGTCCCAGGTAAACGTACTCGTCAACAACTTCGAGCATAGTGCTCCCAACAACTACCGGCATAGGTGTGACATGGACATTAAACATGATCTTTGTTTTGTACATGTTCATCTTAAGACCTATCCGTTGGGAGACACCATTGAGGTCATTGAGCATAGTGCTAAGGTCCTCCAGCGATTCTGCCATAAGGACTATATCGTCGGCAAATCGAAGGTGAGTGATGTACTCGCCATTGATGTTAATACCGTATCTTTTCCAGTCCAGTAGCTTGAAAACGTCTTCCATGCAGTGAAGAGTTTCGGGGAAATAGTCACCCTGTCTTACACCTCTCTGCAGCTGGATAGATTTCGAACTCTGGTTCTGTACTCGGATAGCCATCGTAGTCCCACTTTACAAACACTTCAGCACTTCCATATACCGATAGTCAACTTGGCACCGCTGAAGGGACTATAGCACCGCCCAAATTTCGACGCAATCAAATGCTATCTAATAGTCCACATATGCTAGGCAAAGTGGCAGATACTCTTCGGTCTTCTGTACAATCTGCCGCACTGTATGTATGTGGTGTATGGCACTGAAGCCTTTTCGGAAACCGGCTTGTTCGGGAGGCTGGAAGTCGTCGAGTCTGCGTGCGAGACGATTCATAATGACTCTCGAAAACAGCACGTAGACGCAGTTCAGAAGGAAAATCGGTCTGTAGTTCTTCAAGAGAGCGTTGTCGCCTTTCTTAAAGAACAAGACCACCGAGCTTCTGCTCCACGCCTCCGGAGTAGTGCCACCATGGAAGATGGAATTGAAGAGCTTCTGAAGGACTTCAAGTACCGGTGTTCCACCCGCTTTCAGAAGCTCCGCTGTAATTCCATCCTCGCTCGGGGCCTTGCCGTTTTTAAGGTGGTGGAGAGCCATTCTAATCTCAAAGCTCAGACTGACGTCCGGGAAATCGTCGGAATAGTGTCGGATAGGACTTGCTCTTGGATCGTTACTCACACTTACGTGTGGCTCCAACAATGATACAGCTGCCCGTAGAACCTCTCAATCTCACTCAGAATCTCAGGTGTCCCGGAAACGATGTTGTCACACTCAGTCTTCAGCTTTGACAGTTGGCTCTTTCTGGCAGACAGATCTCTGGCAAAGACTTTGGAGCCCTGGTCCCGCTCGATCGCTTCTTTAATACGAGCAGTATTAAAGTTGCGTAAGTCTCGCCGCATGCATTTGGAGGTCTGGTCAGTTGCCTGTATGCTGTCAAATCTGTTGACGATTGCAGTCTCATCTCCCGTCTAACAGCCATGAGATTAAGAGTGTGATCGGAGAGTTTTTGTGTTCTTCTGCGGTGGGTCTTACTGTCCATGCGGTCGGAGCTAAGTTCTTTGCAGAACTTAGCTCCGACCGCATGGACAGTTTCCACGAGCTTGTCATTCATATCGTCCACTGCATTGCAATCTTCTAGGCACTGAAAGCGGTTGCGTAACTCGAGCTGAAAGGTTTCGGGATTCTGGATTAGAGCACGAGGGAAACGTTTAGGTTTAATGTGCATCTAACCATTCGGTGATCGCTGCCAGTTTTTACCCTTGCGATCACTGAGATATCACTGAACAGTTGGCGTCTGGTCGTATAATGAAGTCAATCTCATTTTTTGTTGAACCGGGCTCGGGACTTCCTGTGGGGCCGATTCTGAAAGAAAGAGTTCATCATAAAGAGTCCCTCTTTCTCCATAAAGTCGGCCAGCTGCTGGCCCCTTCGGTTTCGTTGCCCTACTCCAAATTTCCCTACCTTCAGCTCACCGCTTTCTCTTGTGCCTAGTTTTGCGTTGAAGTCTCCCATCAACACCGTGTAGTGGGTTTTGGAGGAATGCATGGCTCTGGAAATATTCTCATACATTTCCTCCACCTCCTCATCGGGATGTGCCGAGGTCGGTGCGTAAACCTGTATGACCTTCAGCGAATACCGTTTGGTGATTCTGAGTATCAGGTACGCGACCCTCGTCGACACACTCCCAATCTTTATAACGTTGTTGACGAGAAACTTGTGGACGATAAATCCGACACCTCCTTGGGACAGATGGTCGCCCTCCCGGTGATAGAACAAGTTGCCGGACTCGAAGATTGCCGTGTCCTCCCCCTCTCTTCGGGCCTCGGATAATCCAATAATATGCCAGCGCAACTTGTCTACCTCTTCTTCCAGCTTCAGTATCTTCTCGTCAGTCCTCAGGTGCGTGCGTTATATGTTGCCAGGTCGTGTCGTCGTAGGTGGCAACCGAACCTCCACCGGAGATTCTTAGCACCCCCTGCCCCGCCGTTACCATAGTCACCACCATAGCCAGGAATAGCGGGGCCACCGGGGACTGCGGGCCGTTTTTTTGCGTCGTTATTCATGGGGGGATATTTGCCATAGTTGCCACGCTTGGCGAGCGGGTTGGCAACCGCAATTTTTTATTATATCACAGTTGTTATCAGGAAGATGCTGCTGCCCATCTCCTGCCTGTTTCCCTCTGTCGCCTCTTACGACACCCACGGGAAGATATGGGGTAGTGGATATTCTCAACCGCCACTACACGGCATACATACATACATAGTATGTCTATTATTGTATTACTCTATATCTAATATTGTATTAATCGTAAATGAAATATGTTTAAAAAAAGTCCCGCTGGGTTTTTTACTGGTTCTTCCCAGGACAGAGGTTTTTTCCGAACCAGTGATACATCGAAAAATCACTTATAATAAGTTTTATGCAATAATCCATTTTGAATAAATTCATTTCATTTCCTTTGTAATGATTTCTTAAATTTGCGAACACTTCACATTGAATAAAACTATTATTTACGGATTTTATCGCGTTTAATTACTTTAATTTATTTTTATTATTATCCCGACGTGTCAGGTGCTTTACAGCGCCCATGGTCGGGGGGGGACTGAGATGTTTGACGTCCCAATGTCATAGTTAGTAGTCCCAATGTCATACTAACTATGACATTGGGACGTCAAACATCTCAGTCCCCCCCGTGACCATGGGCGCTGTAAAGCACCTGAAACGTCGGGATAATAATAAAAATAAATTAAAGTAATTAAACGCGATAAAATCCGTAAATAATAGTTTTATTCATTTCCTTTGTCAGCATATTAAATGCAAATCACTTCCATACTTTCGAGAAAAGCGACCCTACAGTGGCCGTACGCATAGTAGAGCGATGGAGCAAGGATTATGGCTTAATCGTTAAACCAAACAACTCAGTTCTAGTAATGTATACATAAAAATAATTCTTCTTAACTTAGTTGTTAAAACTATACATCTCCACGCGGAGGAGGGTAGCTCAAAGTGATATATGAGGGCAATTCTTAATAATGTTTATTTTGTACTAAACAGTCTACTTCAGTATATTTGGCTACCGAATGGCTTTTAATCACGGCTAATTTACATTTACTATTATATTAATTGCACGTGTGCCTAATTGAACTTGTTTCTACTTGATACTTATATTATTATACTTGATATTTATGTAGGCATAATGCAGTAGTAGATTTCATAATTTCTGAATTTTAATTAATTTAATATTAAAAAAACTGTGTAAATACTTAAGATATATGAGATTATTAAGTATTTTCAAGTATACTTTGTAAATACATATATTTCAGATTTTTAATATTTTCTTTTAATATTAGTCTTAGATTTATTGTCTTTTATTTGGTATTTAATTTACAGAAAAAGCGCTTAAACAATTTCAAAACCACAACACCACATTCTCAAGAAGAGCTCTTAAAATTCACCCGAAATCAACCAACCACACCAATAGTGCAAAATTAAATAAATCTACAAAACAAATCAACATTAATGTTAAATCTAATAATATGAAGAAACCACGAAATCAAGAGATTTCTATAACGAAACAAAAACCGTCTATTATGACACCAAAGTTATTACCAAAACATGACGATAAAATGGTTATAATAGAAAAGGAACTTGTAGGACGAAAACCCACAGAAGCAGAGGGTGTTAGAGCAAAAAAGATTTTAAATGAAAACAATCCTAATATAAAATTAACTCATAAAGTAGTACAAAGGGCAATGACAGTTGCGCAGAAGATAATAACTAAGAATGAAAGAAATATTGCAAACGCTTCTAAATTAATCAAAGTTATCCAAAAACGTTCAATGATGAATCATGAGGAAATTGGTCCAAAATCTACTATTTACAATCAAACGGAATATACGGCATCGCGAATGTATAAAAAATCTAGTCCAAGGAAGTTTAGGAAAAAAATCTCGATGAAAAACGTTGCTGACTTTAATAAAGCGAGTGATAGCAAAAGGATAAAGAGAGATGTTTTATATCCAGGTACTGGTTGAATATAATGTTTTGTGTAGGTTTTATCCATCCAATCGTAAATATTATTCTTCATCTACGCAGTATTTACCGAGATGGAACTGACTATAACACTCGTCGAGAATGCCTGTTATTTCTTTCTTATTTTTCTTGTTGAATTATATACAGTTCAGTGTTAATCGTTACCCAAAGCAAAGTTTATTTTGTACTGTAGAGATCATCGTAAAAAGAGATGTAATTTTTCATGGTTATAATAATTGCTAAAGATTTATCTGAATAGGAAGTTTTCGAGTCTAGATTTATGGTGATTTTCTTAATTTATTACTATGTGCATTTCGTCTGTCTCAGAATAATGATCTCCACGTTTAACGAATAACCATGTTATTATTAGGAAAAATTTCAGCGGTACTCCCGTACACAGTGAATATTTGCTAATAAATAAATTATATAATAAAAGTAAATAATTAAGTAAAATATAAACTAAATGTCTTAGTGGTAATGCTACTACACCAAAACAATGTTTGCTTTAAACATAAATATTATATATTCCTTTTTTTCTATATCTATAGTATATCTATAATAAATATTTGAAGAGTAATAACCGCTATCGTTACGGATGCTTATTATTTTAGACATGTTAAATATATAAATAGTATAAATATTAATAATATTAACCTTATTCTCATAATAAGGATATAGTAAAACTTACTTGTGACAATTTAGTTTTTTTACTCTAGGTACAGCTACAAAAACACAACAAATGACGACAGATTCCAACATGAATTTTCTTCGTAGAATTCAACAAAGCACAGTACCAATACTTCCAATGGAATTGAACAAGTACGGATATTATAAATATAATGTAGTTACAGAAAAATATTTCGACGTGAAAAAATCTTTTATAAATGATGAATATAGAGTAAAACATACGAACCCTAAATTATCATCTGAAAATAAAAACATAATAGTGCATAAAAATATAGTGCAAAACTTGTCCACTAACTTACGTCCAAATTCAAATGAATTAAATTCTGCGATATTGTATCATGCTAAAAATAAAAAAGAAATTGTTTGTACGAACAAAACAGGTATAAATTATTTTACAACTATGGAGAACATTAATAAAAATCTTGACAGTTCAAATGATAGTGTTTCAAGTAAATCGAATCTTGTAAAACAAAATATAAGTTTCAGTCGACAAGAAATTTTAGAGACCAATGGGAAAATATTACGAAATGTAAGCGACGACCTGAATATAATAAGTAGTCTACTAGACAAAAAGGAAAACGCATCAGAAACTTTGAAGAAACAAATTGAAAAGCATGATTTTAAACACAAAATCAAAGTAAAACATTTTAAATTTATGACATACTTACAGGGACTGTTTGCCAAAATATTTGGAAGTAAAATAATTAAAACAAATAAAAAGATTGGTAGGCAAGGACTACTTGATAAACAAAATATCTTAGATACATTTTGTATTAAAAGATTATCATGTAAAGTCCGTCCACAAGATGAGATGAAATTGCAGATTAAAATGAATGAGCTAAACGGCGAACTGTATAATATTATAGAAACAACAAAAATAATTAAGAAATTGTTAAAAATAATCATGATTAATGATAAAAAGCAAACAAATGAAAAAAGCTTCCACAATGATATACAAAGCTATTCCATGACTAGGTTTCCGAATAAAACAAATATTGCAAACTTAAAAGATAAGGGTAATCTTCAGATATATTATATCAAAGATAGCATGAAATCTTTTATAAAATATATTGGGAAATTTTCAAATATTCTTCAAGAAATACTCAATATTCTGACATTCAAAGAAGGCAACAAAAAATCCACACATCGTCCTTTACGGTGTACTAAAGTAATAAATAAAACTAATTATAAAACCTTAACAACAGAGGAGAAATTCAAAAAACTTAAAACTATTATACTCAGTTACAATCTGCTCCAAAATACTTTTATAAAAAAAATTTATGAAATGTTGACCAAAATAGAATCAAACTTAACCAGTGCCGAAAAGAAAATAAAACTAAAAAATCCTGATAAGGAACATAAGAATAATAAAACTCTTGCTCTTGAGACCTATACGAAGAATATAATTGAAAATCTCAGAAAGCTGAAAAAATTAGCTCAGACGTTGACTGAAACACATAGAAGAAAAAGGGCGACGATGAAAGATGATGATGCGATAGAATATTTATTGATGCTGATGGAATACCTCTTGAAACAGAACTATCCCTTAGACACCGCTCCAGGTATTGTTGTTTTTAAGACTTGTTTATATTTATAAAATTATTATACTTATTTAAAATTTATAGTTATTGCGAGTAGTTTTCATTAAATAATCAATGCATAACGTGTGTAACAATGTATCTTCAATTCAAATACTAGAAATGTTACAAAGACGAATTGGGAAATTAGTACTTACTTAAAGAAGTTAAAGATCAACAATAAAGACTTAAGAATATCGTTGAAACTTTTAGTGCTCATAAAGATAAAAAATATTAAAGTGTTTAAACTAAACCCGCATAAGTAACATTTTTTTTTCTATCTAAGACTTTTCATGCGATCGCAAGAAAACTCGCAAGGGAAATACCTCAAAAACGTTTCCTCAGACACATGTTAGGGTATGGTAAATTTCAAATTGGTATTTCTTACATTTCGCTTCTTTATGTTTCAGTAAATGATGGCATCGATTTGTTGATTGATGCTATAAAACACGCACCAGATATAAAATTCATAAAGAAAAAGGTTTTAGACGTCCCAACGACAAAAGCAACTGTAACGCGGACTACAGAAAAACTGACAGCTGCAACTTTCTCGTATGTAGCTAATATATATGGTGTAGATAGTTTAGAAAAAGACAATAATAATACGTTGGATTCCGAAGAAAATGAAGTTATTTTTTCGCCAAAGTCTACTGATGATGGAAACAAAAAAGAAGGTTTTCAGAAACTTCTTTACGGACAAAGAAAATTTAGTAAAAATTTTAAGACAAGCAATTTAAATACTGCGGGTACTAATTCTGACTTGAATTTCGAATTTTCTACACTAGCACCATCAAATACACCTATTCCATTAGTAAAATATGATTTTAATAATGTGCTTGTAGTTACCGACAACTTTGCAAAAAGTGAGCCCCAAGTTGATATCCATGAAAAAGATGATGACGTGATAAATCTTAAATCGGTCAAAAATGATAACGAAAGACACAAAGATGTTGTAAATCTAGAGTTTGTTCACACTGAAAATGAAGAAAATTCCCCGACGGTAGGAATAGTTATAACTGAGTCAGACATTGACATTCCAGTTACATTTCCAACAAGAACAGTGCCGGTAGAAGAAAAAACAACACGAAAATTTCATCACATGATTAAAGAGAAATTCGAAAGTGTTGATACTTTCACAAATAATAGAAAAAACACAAAACCGACAATTGGCTGGGTTGATTATGATCTAGATGAAAATAGTAGTAACTTAGTTCAACGGAAAACCACATCAAAAACCAAAACGGGTGCTTTAAAAAAAGGAATAAAAGGAAATAAAAATGATATAAGTACTATTAGTAAGGAAATTATAGATGAGAAAAAGAAGAGATTTGATAAAATATATTCAGACCCTTTACTCAGAAATAGATTGGATTTGGTAAATTCAATAGAATATAGTACTTTAACATCTGATATAGACACGTCAGAGTCTAAAGATGGCGAACTGGAAGATACGTACGTGAACGATATTTTTCCGTCTTATTTCGCATGAAGTATTTTTACAATAAATAATTTATTATACGTTATCTTTGTTTTGTTTGTTACTTTTTATGTTACTAATTATACCAATTGATATTTTATAATAACAAAGTCTATTTAAAAGTTTGAAATTTGTATCTTATTACTACTTGCTTAGTGTTAAGTTAAAGTCATTTGATAGATTACGTCTCTTATGATATTTGTTTTTATTTACATTGTTAATTATTGTTTGATCCGTTATTGTTATTTTTGTAGTTTTGTAACGTATAGCAATTCCAACGGTACTTGTGAACAAGATATAGAAAGCTAATTAAAATAATTAAATGTAGAATTTGTATTATTTCTATGGACTCTGACTTAATTAAAAGAATTACTTTAAGAGTTTTCTACCTTCTTAAAATAAATGGGAGATTTTATAAAGCATATAAAAGAAAGGCAGGTCAAGGTTTCCCAGTCGAGGCTGTGCACAAGATGCACAGCAGCAGGGGCGAGAGGTTTAACCTCGCCCTCCTCTTACTCTCTAACGTGCCGGAGGTGAAGGCCATTTTCCGCCAGGTACGCACTGTGTGTGGCCTGTCGCGGGTTAAGGTTGAAACTCCACACAGGCGCGGTTACCCGGCGCAGTGCCACCGCTGCCAACTCTATGGGTACGCGGCAGCCAACTGCTCAGCCCCACCCAAAGAATGCCCTCGGCCCAAAAACGCTGAATCCCTACCTGCATGTGTCCTATGCGGACAGACTGGCCAACCGGCCAGCTTCAGAGGCTGCCCTCGCTCTTCTTAGCAACAAAGCTCCCCCACAGGTCAATGACCAATCTTTCCCGGCTTTTCCAAGCCGCATGCCTCGTCAGGGCTTGTCCCGGCCTCAGCCCCTCAGGGCTTATCTCAGCCCACACAGGGAATTTATCGGCCCCCTCAGGGCCTTTATCGGCCACCTCAAGGCCCTCCTCGGCTCCTTATGGGCCTTTCTATATCACAGCCTGTACCGCTCCCAATCAACCCTTGGGGCCCCACAAAGGCACACATCCCGCGGCCTTTCGCCGCCCCACAACAGCCAGAGCCAGAACCTATAGCTGACGATATCAACTTAGTGTATACCACTATGCGAAACGTCAACTTAGGGGTAATTACAATCCTAGCGCGCAAATTGCGCGCCGCTCAGTCCCCACAGGACCGTCTGCTTGCTCTTACTGAGCACATCAATCTATTGAGGTCGTTGTGAAAACACAATGCCAGATCATTCTGCTCTCAATATCACACGGTCGTATCAAACCAAAGGGTTTGTCGCTTGTTTCCTTTAATATCCGCGGTTTGCGAAATAACCTCTCTGAGCTTAGGCTCTTTCTTCGAGATCGCAAAACTGACCTCCTCCTCCTCCAGGAGACCCACCTCAGTTTTAAGGTCCTCAAAGGCCTGTCTATCAAAAGTTATTCGCTTCTTCGAGATGACAGACCCGACCGCAAAGGCGGCGGTACTGCCATTTACTACGAAAAGTCGCTTCATTGCTCCCACATCTAAACTCTGACGCTTACCAATATGGAAGCCACTATAACTAGAATAGCCATGACTGGATGCCAGTCTATCATCTTAGCCCTCCTGCTATATCCCTAGCGGAACCCTTCCCGTTAAGGGCATTGTCGAAGCCATCCTTGCATTAGGCAATTCAGTCATTATGTTTGAAGATTTTAACTCCAAGCATACTGAATGGACCTGCCTCAGTACTACTAGTAGTGGCAAGGTGCTGCTGAATATCACTCAGTCTCTCGACCAGACTGAGCGCATTGGGGCAGCGCGGCGGACATTTCCTTGCCCTAAAACCCTCTCAGAAATGAGAGGAGGCCTGTGCCCAGCAGTGGGACGTATATAGGCTGTAACTTTAACTTTAATTTTAACAGCCCCCTCGCTGTCACCCACTATCCCGACAAGGTTAACCATGCTCCTGACGTGCTAGACTTTGCTCTAGTTAAAGGAGTCTCCCGTAACCTTAGATCAATCGAGACTCTCGATGATCTAGGATCCGACCACCGTCCTGTATCCCTAATTCTTGGCCATCAGCCACCTCCTACACCCACATTCAAAACCTACACCAACTGGAAGGGCTTCGGGAAGTCCCTAGCCTCAGCTATGGACTCTCCGGACCCTCCCATAACCCTCTCTTCCGACGTCCTCGACAGTACGGGAAAAATAGACACCGCGGTCGAAAATCTCACAACACTTATAAAATCCTCCCTTAAGGAGAATGAAAAGGTCGTCCCGGTTGCTAAAACCAGTCTTCCCCTAGATATAAGCAACCTGATCAAAGCCAAAAAGCTGACTTCCGTAGAGCTGCACGCTATCCCACTCCCGAATATAGACTTGCGGCCCACCGCCTTCAACGTAAACTCCGCCTCAAAGACTTCAGAGACCTCGAAAAGGGCAATCTCATGGAGAATATCTCCCCCTCTCATACAGCGTACTACCCGATGACGAGAGCCCTTCGGATAGATGCTATCACTCATACTCCTCCTCTCTCTCGTCCCGATGGCTCTATTGCCTTCGAGGACGAAGAAAAGTCTGAGTGCTTCGCCGACAGCGTCGCCGCACAATGCTGTCCCAGCTCACAACTCACTGACCCCTCCCATATACAAGAAGTGGAGGACGAGGTCCGCCGCCGGAACTCAACTGTGTCCAAAGATGAGATTTCATCAATCATCAAAGGTCTAAAGCCTAAAAAAGCACCGGCCGCGGATGGCATCTCCAACCAAGCCCTTAAACACTTTCCGGAGCAGGTGATCGCTTTACTGGCCATAATCTTCAATACCTGATTCGACTTCAACTATTTTCCTTGGAAAGAGGCAACTGTCGTTGGCATTCCAAAGCCAGGCAAACCTCACCACATCCCCTCCAATCACCATGCCATCAGCCTCCTCAAGGCCATGGGCAAACTTTTCGAAAGAGTTATTCTCATGCGCATGAGGCGCCATTTGTTTCCCACAGACGGCGACCCTCATGTCATCCCTCAACAATTTGGGTTTCGAGCCAAACACTAGTACCCCAAGCAGGTTCACCGTATAGTGGAATATATTCTCAGCAGTTTTTATCCTCGTCGTCAGAAGACCATCGCGGTCTTTCATTCGACAGAGTCTGGCATGAAGGCCTTATCTACAAATTGTACGACTTAGGCCTCTCTGAACGTCTTGTCTGCCTCGTAGCCTCCTATTTGAAGGATCGTACCTTTCGTTTTAGACACGAAGGCACGCTATCCTCTACTCGTTAAATCAAAGCCGGTGTTCCTCAAGGCTCGGTGCTTGCCCCCCTCCATTCCAAAATGATACATACTATACATCAATGACATACCTATCCCGTCGAATGGTGTTAAATTAGCCCTCTTCGTAGATAACACAGCCCTCTACTCCAAAGGCAACTCACTGCTACAGATTCGGAACAAGATCCAAAAGATCAGTTAAAAAAAAACTTAGGAGCTTGGTTCCAAAAATGGCGTATCGACGGAAACCCGGAGAAGAGCTCCGCCGTTTGCTTCGAACATACACGACGCCGTCTCACTGTCATTCCGCCAATCAAGATGTTAGGAACCCCTGTCCCATGGCAAATAAAAGCCAAATATTTAGGCGTCACCCTTGATGCAGGGCTCACTTTCGAGCCTCAATATCAAGAAAGTTACACGTACCGCACGATTTTACAAGGGTAGGCTCAACAGCATGTTGGGCAGACACAGTAAAATGTCCTCCCGCAACAAGGGAACCCTATATAAGATCTGTATACGACCTGTTATGACCTACGCGGCCCCCATTTTCGCACATGCCAAACCCAACATTATAAATGAACTTCAAATACATAGTTCAAAATCTCTTCTGTCGTAGCGCCTTGAACTCGCCCTATTATGTCCGTAATGCCGACTTCCACCGAGACTTAGAGCTCCCAACAATTCAACAGTTCCTCAAAACACTCTCTGAGAGATTTTTGGAAGCCTCAGAGTCCCACTCAAATCGCCTCATACGGGAGACAGCTGCCTATGCAGCCCCTCATCACACTCGCTATAGTATGCGCAGAACTGCCTCCTGGCAGCTCAGGACGAGCCTATTTAACACATCCCTTAATCTGCCTTAGTTAGGCACACTTCTAAGAAATCACTGGACGAACTCAAACTTTGGGGATGGAACTACAGCTCCCGTAGTAGCTACAACACCTTCGCTACGTGGATTCAAAGTTGCACCGTTCGACGGGACTTCTTCCTGGTTGGCCTACAAAATCCAGTTCGAGGCCGTCATGGAGGCGAACGGCTGGAATAAAAGTCAGGCCATGACTGCACTCACCCTAGGCCTGCGCGACCAAGCCTTAACTGTGTTGAAAGCTCTCGGTAAGAAAGTGACCTACGAGCAGCTCCTTGAGGCATTGGAGGCGAGATATGGCGACGCTCACCTGGAACACGTCTTTCACGCGCAGCTTAAAGATCGCGTGCAACGCAGCAACGAAAACCTGCAGCACTGGGCCCTCGAGGTGGAGCAGATGGTTCGAAAAGCATACCAGTCTGTACCTGCGCTCATTGAAGGGAACGTCCTGCAGACATTCATCGACGGCATCCGCGACCTTGAAGTCAGTGCTGCTTTGAGGCTCGGGAACCACGAGACGCTTAAGGACGCCTTGGCCCATGCACTGGAGTTGGAAGCCGTGCGGCAGGATCTTCGCTCCCATCGCGTCAGGGAGGTTGCAGCAGCTACCGCGACCGCAATAAAGGATACATCCCTAGGTGCTATGGCTGTGGGGAAAGGGGCCATCTTCGATCCAGCTGCCCTAAGCGATCTGCAAAAAGGGAAGGTGATCGAACTCGAGAGGGTTGTGCGGCTAACAGCACCAGCCAGCAGCAGAAACACGACTTTATGATTGAACACCACAGCGTGAAATCGCATCGCAACGCAGATGCCTTGTCAAGGAGATCTTGTTCTGAAGATTGCAAGCACTATACTAGGCAAGAGAGTAAAGAAGTGGTATCTGTGACAATTCTCAGGACAGACCA